CCGCGGCGGCCGTCCTCGGCGTCTTCCTCGTACCGGAGGTAAGCGCCGCTCCCCTGGCAGAGGAGTCATGGTTGGAGGGAGGATGGACCCGGAGCTGAGGGCACGGGCTGAGCTGGATGCGCAGCCCCTCTGTGCAGGTGCTGGCCTGGCTCTCCCCGCAGCCGAGGCGGGACTGGCGGCCGGCTCGCTGTCCTGCGAAGGCTCCTCTCCCGGCAGCGCATTCGGCTCCGGGTCTGCCAACCACCCACCCACCCTCTGCAGGGACGGGCTGCCTGCGCTGTCAGCTCTCGGGGGGCCCGAGGGGAGCGCGACCCCGTCTCCCGGCTCCCTTTGCAGATTAGCTACGAAGCCTCCTTGGAGACGCTCAGCCTGAAGCGGTTCTACCCCTCATTCCTGCGCACCATTCCCAGCGACAGGCAGCAGGTGAAGGCCATCTTCCTGCTGCTGCAGCAGTTCGGGTGGGCTTGGGTTGCGCTGCTGGGCAGCGACAACGCCTACGGCAGGGACGGTCTGGATGCTCTCTACAAGCTGCTGAGTGCAAGCGACGTGTGCGTTGCCTACCGAGGCATCATCCCCGTCAACAAGGACACCAGCAGCCCGGAGCTCCACAAACTGGTCAGAATCCTCATGGATGTCAGGGTCAATGTCACCGTCGTCTTCTCCAACAGACGAAGCGCCCGCCCTTTCTTTGAGGTGGTGGTCCAGAGGAACGTCACGGGCATGGTGTGGGTGGGCTCTGAAGACTGGTCTTTATCTCAAACAGTCTGGGAGGTGCCTGGCATCCAGCGTATCGGCTCGGTGATTGGGGTGTCGGTCGAGAAGACAGAGCCCATGATGCTGGAACGTTTTGAATCCTGGAAGATAGCGGAGGAAAGCGCTGCAGCTGGCTGTGCCGGCCACGCGGAGCCGGAGCGGGGAATGGGAGGGAGTGCCCAGCTGGACTGCACCCAGCGCTGCACCGACTGCCACTTGCTCACCACTGCCCCCAACACGTACGATGCTCAAGCCTCCTTCAATGTGTACTCAGCCGTGTACGCCGTGGCCCACGGCCTCCACGACCTGCTGGGCTGTGCCTCAGGGGTGTGCAGCAAAGGCACAGTCTATCCCTGGCAGGTAAGAGCGACAAAAGGAAGGACCTTCCTTGTGGAAGAGGATCCATGAGGATCCTTCCTCTCAGGGAAGGATATTCCCCTTGAGCCCAGGGGTTTTCTGTCCCTCTGAAAGGCTCGTGTCCCAGCCAAAGAGCCTTGTGGGCTTCAGCTGGCCGTAACAGTCAGAGCAGCCTGGACCTAGACCCAGATGCCCACCTTAGATCACTTCTGTTCCTCTACTGCCAGCTCCTTGCAGAAACCTGGAAGAGGGTTTCTGCAGCTGGACGTACACTAGCTGTTGGGGGGGTGGAAAGAGGAGCCAGAGCAGAGAAGAGGCCCTCCAGCACATCCCCCTCCAGAGACAAGGCACTCCTCAGCAGGAGGCTCGTCATTGGGAAGGGCTCTTCTCTTACTCTTCTGTCTTACAGCTCCTACAAAAAATCAAGCAAGTAAACTTCACCCTGTACAAGAGCCGCATCTCTTTTGATGCCAACGGGGACATTCATAAAGGCTATGACATCATTGTGTGGAACTGGAGCGGCCTGAGCTGGGCTTCCGATGTGATAGGAACGTTCCGTGTGAACCCCGACAGGCTGAGCATTGACCAGGGCAAAATCCTGTGGCATACAAAAGATCGCCAGGTACTGTTGTGCATCCACATCTCATTTATTGCTTACCGCCGAGACAGCTACACCCCCGACACCGCCAGTTCTGGCATATTTCCCCATAGCAGACAAAACCGAGGGCAGATGAAGGCGGTATGGGGGGTGATCTCTGTTCTGGCTATCAGCTTTCGTTCTTCCGAAAACCAAGCAGGGCCCATGAACCGAAAAGGCTCCTAACTTTTTACACATTTTCTCATTTTCCCACCACCTCTGTAAGACCCGCAACGTGGCAGGCTCTAGGCTCCTGCCCAGGGTCTGTCCTGAAAGCCGGCAGCAAGCTGCCCGCACCGGGCCCAGGCCTGGCGCTCGGCGAGGCGTCCTGCTGCCACCCCGCTCGCCAGCCTGATGCTCGCCGTGCTCCCGACAGGCTCCCCCCTCGGTGTGCTCCCAGGCCTGCCAGCCGGGGGAGAAGCGGCTGCAGCAGAGCCGCCACCGATGCTGCTTCAGCTGCGTGGCCTGTCCGTCAGGAACCTTCCTGAACAGATCGGGTCAGTACGCGCCGAGGGGCTGCTCCCCCCCTTCCTTCCCACTTGGCTCCCCTGCCCGGTGCCTGCCTCCTCCTCTGGTCCGCTCCTTGCTTCCATCTCGCCGTTCCCCCAGCCTCTCTCTCCCTCCCTGTGGTCAGTAAAAGCCTCTCGGCTGTCCTCAGCGTGGTTGGTCTGGCTCCTGTTTGCTTACCGCTGAGGTATGCAAAGCCCCGCGCTCAGCCCTGCACCCTCTGGGGAGCGCTGCCCACGGGGCCCTTCTCCCACGGCCAAGGGACACCCGGCCAGACAGCTGCTTCCTGCACCACATCCTCCGGGAGGGAAATTCGACCCGGTGGTTGCCTCTGTGCCCCAGATGGCACTCGGGCCTTCCGCACCGTGTGGTCACCAGCAGCTGGTGTATGGAAATGTCCCCCAGCTGGGACAGGAATCTCCTGACTGGCCAAAACGACAAACCCCTTGCTGGCAGCTGGTCGCCTGGCAGCCCCGTCCTGTGCTTGGGCTGAGGGGAGGGGGTGGAAACGGCCAGCACCAGGTAACAGGGGGAGCGGGGAGCCCCCAGACACGGCCTCAGCATCACCCCAGCCTGCGCAGGCAGGGCTGCCGCAGACCCGTCCTGGCCTTCGCAGGTTGCTGCTGGACACGCAAGCCCCTTCCCACCCGCAGCTCGTGTGCCCCTGAGCCTCGTGTCTCCCAACCCAAGCAACGGACTTTTGGGAAGTCTACCGAGGGGGACTTCTGGAGGGGGGTCTTTTGGGAAAAGAGCCCTCTTACCCTCTCCACTCCTCAAGGCTGGGAAGCACCCAAGGGGAAGGAGCAGGATGTGAGGAGAGGGCAACGAGGGCGGGGTGCTCCGCCGCAGTAGGTCTCTTACCAGGGTCTGTGGTGTGCGAGGTGCTGTCATCATCTGGGCTCGTGTCCTCCACAGACCTCTACAGCTGCCAGTCCTGCGGGGTAGACGAGTGGGCCCCAGCAAGGAGCGAAGCTTGCTTCAATCGCACCATCGAGTTTCTATCCTGGTCTGAGCCCATCTCCTGGGTGCTGCTGACCTCCGCCGTCCTCCTCATGCTGCTCATGGCAGGGCTGGCCGTCCTCTTCGCCCTAAACGCTTCCACGCCAGTGGTCAAGTCTGCGGGCGGGAAGATGTGCTTCCTCATGCTGGGCTCTCTGGCCTGCGCCTGCAGCAGCCTCTTCTGCTACTTCGGGGAGCCCGCCTGGCACACATGCCTGCTGCGGCTCCCCCTCTTTGCCATCAGCTTCACCGTCTTCCTCTCGTGCATGGCAACACGCTCCTTCCAGATCATCTGCATCTTCAAGCTGAACGCGCGCTGGCCGGCCCTCTACGAGGCCTGGCTGCGGCGCAGGGGGCCGGTGCTCTTCATCTCCGCCAGCTCGGTGGCTCAGGCCATGCTGTGCCTGGCCGCGGAGGCCACCAGCCCCACGGCGCCGCAGAGGGACTACGGCGCGTCGGCTGAGCGGGTGGTGCTGGAGTGTGCCCCGAGCACGGCGGCGGGCAGGACCGCCGCCATCGCCTACACCGTGCTGCTCAGCACTTGCTGCTTCGCCCTCAGCTACGCGGGCAAGGACCTGCCCGCCAGCTACAACGAGGCCAAGTGCCTCACCTGCAGCCTGCTCCTGCACCTCGCCTGCTCCGCCGCCGTCTTCTGCACGCAGGGCGTGTTCCGCGGCCGGAGCGAGGCGGTAGTGCGGGTGCTCGGCGGCCTCTGCACGCTGGCCGCGCTGCTGGGCGGCTACTTCCTCCCGAAGGCCTTCGTCCTCCTGCTGCGGCCGCGCCTCAACACGCCCGAGCACTTCCAG